CCTTCTGGGTACTGCAGTTCCTGTTTATGAATTCTCTTGCCCATTTTTCTGTAGGGCTCTTTTTCCAATTCTTTTTTTTTTTTTTGAGCTCTTAATACATTGTAGATATGATTCTATTGTCATTTGAATGTGTTGCAAATATTCTTCCCCACTGTATAGCTTGACTTATCTAATTTAAGATCTATTTATTTTGAGGTTTTGCTTTTTAAAATTTTTTGCATTTTGTTCAATCTTTCCTTGCCACAAGGTCAGGGGATACTGTAGTATGTTCAAGAAGCCTCATTGCTTTGCATTTAACGTTGAAATTTAAAACCTACTTGGAGTGACTTTTGTGTGTGGTGTGACGTAGAGAGGAAGATTTGCTTCGTTTCTCTTTGAGGATGTACATCTGCTTTGCAATGCCAGCTTTGTCTCCACATAGGAGGTCTGTTTTTGAAATCTGTTCTGATCTGTTTGTTCCTTTGCCTAAACTCGTGGCCATACCACATGATCTAAATTATTATGACTTCAGAGAAAGTCTTTATGTATGGTGGATCCTTCTTGATGTCTTTTTCAAAAGGGTCTTGATTAATTTGGGTCTTGTGCTTTTCCATATAAAATTCACAGTTTGTTAATTTCCACAGAAAAAGTGACTTGTATTTTCGTTGACATTACATTGACTCTAAAGTAATCAGTAGTCACCTCAACCATATTGTTATATTTTTCAAGTATTTCTACTTTAATTTTAAAAATTTCTCTGATAATGTTTTAAAGTCTCCTTTGTCCTGGTTTTGTAGAGCATCATGTGAATTTCTCTCTGTGTGGGTGGTGTCCTTTGAGTTACGTGAACAGTATCACTTAAAAATCGCGTTTTTAAAATATTTGTTGCAAAAGCATGAAAATAGAATTTATTTTTGCGTATTGACCTTATTTCCAGCAACCTTGTTAAGCTCACTCATTTTTAATAGTTTACATGTAGATTTATTGAGACTAATTTCTTATAAAATCATATTGTGCATTCAAGTCTCCCATATAATTTTCTGCATTTAAAAATTCTGAAATGGCATTTGATTTTATCATATATTGACATATATGTATCATATATTTTTGCATATATTGAGATCTATATTATTTTTTTCTTTTATTCTGCTAATGATTTAAATGATTGATTTTCCCAAATGTTGATTCAATTTATTTATTCAGTTATTGATGAAATCTGTTAAAGAGAAATGAAATGGTCAGATTTCCCAGTTTTCTTATGTCAATTTTGGTAAATATTTTAAAGATTTATTTTAGGATAATAATAGGTTTGCCAAAAGTTCTAAACATACACGTGGAGATCCAGTTCCCCTCAATGGCAGCATTTGACATTCCTGTAGTACAATATAAAATCCAGGAAGTCAGCAATGGTAGGACCCACAAAGCACATTCCATGGTGCAGCAGTTCTACGTGGACTTGTGTGTGTGTGTGTGTGTGTGTGTGAAGGTTGATATGATTTTACACATGTGTAGATATGTGTAGTCATCATGACAGTCAGCACACAACTGTCTCTCACTACCAGCTCCTTTATGTCACCTCTCTAGAGCCATCTCCCCCTACATCCCTAGTTTCTGGCAACCACTAATCTGTTTTCCATCTCTGTAATCTAATTGTTTGAAGAATGCTACATAATTGAAATCATATCAGTTCTTCAAGGTTTTCATTTTTCACACAGTATAAATGGGTGCTTTACTTTAAAAATATGGAAGTAGCTTTGGGATAGTTTACTGGACTTTGAGAAGCATTAGCTAAAGTCGAAGGCACTGAACACAGTGTAACTAGGAGTCCTGTGATCTTCCATAATGCTGCCAGTGAGTATTGACTGTGCATGAGGAATAACTTATTGCAACTGGAGAAAGGGGATCCTTGTTATGTTGAGGCAGAATGTTTGTGAAAGGTAGAAAATTTCCCTCTTGAAATAAATGATACATCTAAGAGTTCCAAAGTTTTGAAGGATCTTAGAGTACAATGTGAGAAGCCAGATACATTGAGGGATGAGCTGTCAAGCTACAGGAAGTCAGACTTAATGGCTCCCCAAATTCTCAGCCTATCCAGATAGCAAACAAGGCTATAGTTTATAACAAGACTTCAGAACAAAGATCTCATCAAGGTGTTCTCAGGAAAGCATGCTTTAGAGACAAAGCTGGAGGTGAGGTGAAAGTCCCTTAGATATTTTGTTGATGCAGCACATAGATCCTCTTAATCAAATAATATGCTTCTAAAAGCTGAAGAGCATTTTTCCTATGTAGAAAGCCAAGATAAAGAGGGATTTATCTCAAATAAATTTGGGGGTGTAGCTTTTTCTAATGGAGTGAGTATCAGGAAATTGACAGGAGAGCACAATCTTTTTAAGAGTTACATAAGTAGAAACAGCAGTGGCTTGCACAAAGTTTACGGAGAACTTTTCAGCTGTAATTATGCAACCTTTCGTTGGAAAGAGAAGGTAATTCAGAGATTGGAACCATAGGTCTGGAGGGCAGAACTAGAACCATGGGAATTACTCTCAGACCTAGAGAACTCCTCAGGAACCTCCAGCATTTAACATCGGGATTTCAGAATTGTGTGGATCCGTGGCTCCTTTGTGGCTTTTGTTTCCTCATTTTGAACAGGACTGTCCACAGCGGTTGTCTTAGTCCTGTCCCACCGATGAGGTGTGGTGTATTGGAGAAGATGACCTAGTCTTTGGTCTCCCAGGTCTACAGACCACGGTGCCATGATGAAGAATGCTGGTGTTGCTGGATGTAAGAGCCTACACCTGAAGGCTCGTCCACACCTGACTGTGAATGACCTGTGCCGCTGAAGCTAGCTGCTGTGTTGTGAGGCATCCCGTCCAGGGACCTGCTGTCAGGGATGGAGTCCTGCCAACCACCTTGTGGGAGAATGTGGAAACGGCTTTCCTTCACTCATCAAGGATGAGCCTTCAGACCAGACCAGACCTTAACCCTGGCTAGTAGCTCAGTGCAAAGTGACTTTGAGCCAAAGGTGCCCTTTGAGCTATATAAGGGCTCCTTACTCACAAAACTGAAAGACAATAACCATGTGTTGTTTCTGGCCACCACATTCTGGAGGAACCGCCCATGCAGTGGGGGATGTACCAACATGTTCAGTTCAGGGCTCCAGGGGCACCGCCACTGACGGAGGCTCCCTGTCCTCTCGATTCTTTTTGTTTCTGTTGGGAAGTTTCCTGTGCATTTTACAATGGGCTCTTTGAAGGTAATTTTCCCCTTTGATTCTGTTTTTATAACTTTAGTATAAGGTTCTTGGTCTGTGTATCAGTTTCCTAGGGCTGTCATAAAAAAGGACAAATACAGATGGCTTAAAGACAACATATTCCTTTACAGTTCTGGAGGCCAGAAGTCTGAAATTAGGGTTATTGAACCAAAACCCAGGGATCAGAAGAGCCAGTCTCCCCCTGGAGCTCCAGGGAAGGGGGGATCCTCCCAGCATCTGCCAGCTCTTGTGACCCCAGGTGTGCCTTGGTTGGTGACAGCAGCATTCACATTGCCCTCTTCCCTGTGTCTCTGTCCTCTCCTCCTTTATAGGGATCCTGGATGTTGGCCTATGGTGGACCCTAAATCCAGGGTGATTTCATTCGGAAGTCCTTGGTTAATTACATCTACAGAGACCCTACTTACAAACAAAATCACAATCTGAGGTTTTGGGTGGACATGGATTTTTCTTTTTTTTTTTTTTTGAGGACACTATTGAGTCTATTAGTGAGTGCTTTGCTTTTTATTTATCTATTGCTTAGTATATTTTGGAATTCTGAAATCTCAATCTTTAATGCCTTTTCCCAGTTTGGGGAATATTTTAGGAATTATCTCATCTCTTTAAATAGTTTTGGCTCCGTTCTTTCCCTTTTAACCCCCTGGGTTTTCAATGGCATATACAACGTTCTTTCTCTCTGTACCTTCTAATTTTATGCTCCTTTTTTATCCTATTATTTATTCATGCTTCACTCTGGATGTTTCTTTCTGACCAGTCTTCAAATTCACTATTTTTTTTCTTTGTGTCCAGTTTGCTTTTAGGCACATCCTTTAGATTCTTAATTTCAACTAATTGCTCTTTCATTTCTACACGTTTTCAGTTTTATTTACCTGATGTTTTTAAAAAAATTATCTTCCTGAAAATACTCAACTGAGTTATTGAAAATATTTACCTTGTAACTTTATTTTCTAAATCTCTCACCATCTGTCTTGTATTGCCTCATTTCTCTTAATTTTTGATCATATAGGCCTGTCTTATATGTGCCTCATAGGTTTTAAAATTGTGTGTGAGATATTATCTCTTTTTCAAAGATTTTGTATTTGCTCGTTGATCTTCAGGGACACTAGCCAATCTGATCATCACAAACTCATTTCAGTGATTGAGGGTGGACAGAATTGGACTCCTCTCCTGTTGGTGTCGGGTGTTTCATTTGCATCTTTAATTAAAAGATGCAGTTTTGGGATTCCTACTCAAAGTGCTTCTTTTCCAAGTCCCTTCTCTACGTGGGTCCTGGAATCTCTATTTGTGCTGCTGTCTGCATGAGGCTGTGCAGAGCTGTGCTCAGTGTTTTCAGCCTCTCTGCTGATTTTTGGGGAACATGTGCCCTGGAGGAAGGCAGCTGGAGGGGCTGCTCCTTCCTTGCTGGGGGCACACTCTCTCTTCCCTCTCAATTTGTAAATACTCACTGACTCCTTAGCTTCACCAGTTCTTCAGGCAGAATTTTGCATTTGCTTAGGTTTTCTCATTGGAAATATTGGCTTAGCTAATTCATGGGTATCAGAGGTAGAAATCGTCTTCCTTATGTGCATTTGAAGAAGAGTTTTGGGAAGTCCATGGAACACCTTTCATTTATATCACACTGGCCAGCTCCACGGCACACCGAGCCCCTGGGGAGGATGGAAATGTTATGTGCTCAGTTAAAGACAGGAGATTCTCGTGTGGAAAAGGTCCACCGTAGACCCTATCTATAATAAGGCTCCTTTCTATTTTTTAGATGAAAAGTATATCTACCACCCTGTTCTTCAGAGCCCTAGCCACAGCTCTTCCCAATAAATCAGACTTTGTGGAGAAAAGAAAATTGGAAGAAGGCACCCTATCATGTAAGTGTTTATTTTACTGAATTAAGAAGCCCTGTGATATATCTGCAGAAGGAAACAAGTACGTATCTCTTTTGTAAACAGAAATCTAGAAAACTTAGAATAATAGAAGTCTCATTTTCAAGGTAATAGGTTCTATCATTTTTTTCTGTGGGGACATCTAGACATTTCCATCATATTCTGCCTGTTAGGGACATTCAGAATTGGTAACTATGGGCTCTCTAGCTAGTCCTGTGTTCCCACATATAAATGAAGATAATAGTTCATATGTGCAGATGTTTGAAGGTCAGGTGGGAGAGGGCACTCTGAGTAACAAGTTCTGTTCTGTTCTTGGACGGCCTACCGTATTCTGTAAAGCACTGAAAACAAATCAACACTGCTCATAAAAACCACGACCCATCAGTTACTGAAATTTCAGGGCTGCAACATTGTAAATTTCCCATTCACCTTTGGATAGTATTGTACTGTCATATTCTATCACCCAAAGAAAATATTTACATGTATTTCAGAAAGTTCAAGGAAAGTGGCATTGTATTGTCAAAATCCATTATCTGTTTACAGAAGTGAAAATCAAACCTCTATCATGGTGTTTAAAGTCTCTCACTTTAGGTTCAAGACTACACATTTACTTTTATCATTCTTTTATTATTCTTTACTTTTATCATTAATTCTTTTGATAAATTATTAAAATTACAAAGAATGCTCTTGTTCGGTATTTACCAAAATCTGTAGTTTATTAAGTTTTTGAATCAATTAGGTATGCATAGCTTCTTTTCCATATTACCACAGAAGATAACTGTAAAACCTTCTCTAAGACCTTCATTCTGTAAAATTCAAGGCCTGACTCTTCTATGGCTGGAAGCAGTTGTCCCCCATGTTGGTAATTCTTCTCTTATCTTAATCATTATGGTGATTGTATTAAGTAATTTGAGCCCCCAATAATAATTTTTAGTTCAAAAGAAATTTTTGTATGTGTGTTTTATATGTGTTGCGATAGAGATATTGCTTTTTCTTGTAAAAGCCAACATTTATTTTTAAGTAGATATAAAACAAAATTTCAATACATCTGATTTTAAACAGCGGTGGAGCTGGGTGTGGTGGTGTACACATGTAATCTGAGCAGCTTGGGAGGCTTAGGCAGGAGGACCACAAGTTCAAAGCCAGCCTTAGCAACTTAGTGAGGCACTAAGCAACTTGGTGAGACCCTGTCTTAAAATAAAAAAATAAAATGGGCTGGATGTGGCTCAGTGGTTAAGTGCCCCTGGGTTCAATCCCTGGTACCAAAAAACAAAACAAAACAAAACAAACAAACAAAAAAGACCCAAACCAAAACCCAGTAGTACCTATATAGACACAACAACAGATATGTATTGAGTGCTGACATTTGTCACTAATTCTTAATTTCTAGGGTTATTCATGAATTCCTTTATATATAGGACTCTAGTTTTTTAAGTGACTAAAGTGCTCTAAAAGAAGAATAAATGAGTGTGTTTCCTCTAGTAGCAAGTATAGAGCATGATTCGTACTAGACAGTCCATAGATGTCTGAGTCAGTAATTCACTGTTTTATTGAGGGTGGGGGAGAATCAGCTAGAGGCTGAGTCCTGCATTTCATGGTCCCATCTGGTTAACTTTCTTCTTCAATCACTTCTCCCAGGAGCTTTTTGTGCTATTCTTTCTTCTGATTGCCCTCCATCCTCAGATCCATAGTTAACCATTACTCTCTAACAGGAACTACTTTAAAATGTCATTGTTCAGTGGTGTATGAAACAAGAGAAGACAGATACTAAAATATGCTCTCCTCTAATTTCTTATGTTCCTGAGCCCAAATCTGGCATTTCACATGTGCCACTTCCAGAGCAGCTGAAGTGACAACAGAATGCTTGAAAGAACAGAATTTGGATCCCCAGATGTTAATACCACCTCCACCATGAGCCTGGATCATGTGTCTGCAGACAATCGCGGAACCTCTGGGCCTTTTAGATGTAATGAAGTCTTACAGATGCCACCTGCAGCCTGGTTACTTATGTAATCTGGTGTTTTGGGATAATTTGTGATGTGTTTCCAAACAATTTTTATCAATGGAGGTAAAGGTACTGATTCCAAAGCTGCTCCCAGGATGACGGCCCTCACCGAGCCTGTGTTATTTGTTGGTGAGGAGTGGTAGACTGCACATGATTGGAGCAGAAGAACTGAACATGTGACCTGGCACCGCTGGGCACTTTTTATGAGAACTTAAAAACTCATACAAGCCCCTGGGCACACTTTTCTCATTTGTCGTGTGTGGATTTTGGTACTGGTTTTGAAGAGGAGCAGGGAGAGGAGGAGTTGATATTCTGTGGGTGTACAGTGGCGGTTATGCAAGGTGCCTGAGTCTTAGAAATCTGTAGAGCAGCATTGTGCCTGGTGTTAACACAGCCTCAGACACTGAGTATTCACTGGCATGGGAGAGCTCAGGTTAAATACTCTCATACAATAAAATTCTAAAAAGTACTACATTGAGATGTGAGGGTGCTTATGAATTATAAACACTTAGGCCAAGTTGGCTATTAGAATGATACATTGTATGTATTGTTGAAAATGGGAAAAATAACTTGATTGAGACATTTCATCTTTTCTTTTGGAGTCATTGTAAATGTTATTTTAATTTCCATTGATAAAGTTAGCTTAAGGATTTTATAGGATCTCACTCCAAGTCTTGAGAATTAGCTTAATTATTGGGATAAGGGTATCAATCAAATGTTAGTATTTTAAACTTAAATGTGCTTCGTTAATCTCTTATATAAGTACATTTTCACCTTAATGGGATAAAGGTAGTTTTGACTTTAGAATTTTGCTGCAGAATGAGTCAATTAAGTTTTTTTTTTTTTATTTAGTATGTACAATATCTTAGAATACATAAGTTGATGATGAACTTTTTAATACAGGCATCGAACAGTGGCTGGGAAAATGTAGTAACTCATATTTGACCTCCTATTTGGAGAGAACATGGAGAGAGTTGGTTTGTCAAGGAGGCTCAGGGGCTTCTTGTTCACAAATTCCTAAGGAAATTTACTTTGTGCTGGGTCATGAAGCTGTTCCTGGACCAAATATCAGGGTAGAATTAAGTATTTTTCTGATAATGCATTACCTTCTGTTATGCACTTGAAAGTCATTAAAATTAATTAATATTGCAATGCTATTCATTACAGAAGCTTAAGCTCTTATGATAGCATTTTATTAAGATGGATATTTTATGCTTTTACATTTTTTGCTGTAATATTATATCATACTCAAAATTAGCTTTCATCAATCCTCAACTTTGTCATGCCTTCATGAAAAAGTAAAATTTGATTACATTTTCTAGAGATGAAGCTGAATTTTGTTAAATGACAATGAACCTTTTTGGCAATGTTTTTAATTACTTTTGAGTTAACTCAGAAATTTGTTTTAAGTACATCTGTGCTATTTTATTAGAGTTTTTTCCCTCTCAGCATGAGCATGCTTGTATTTAATTTTAAATGTGTATTTACTTATAGCTCTGGGATATGAATAATTAGATTGAATTTACAGGGTTCACTTAGTGCTGCAAAAAGAAGTGGGGGTAACACATTAAGTATGTACAGAAAACTCATTTCCAACATTCTCCAATGTAATTAACAACAAAAATTCATACTCCTACAGTGTGAGAACCATATGATGTAATTGATCCTACACAGAAATAAACGGCTTATAAACTGTAAATCTTAGTGATTTTTTAAATTTTAAAAATAGGATTATTAAAATCTGATAGTGTAATCATATGTATTGCAGGTGATTCTACATCCTACAGTTGAAATAGGAAAATAGATGATTTTCAGAATGTTTATGTGGAAATCATAAAAATGGATAGAAAGAAAACGTATTTCTAAGAAAACTAAGAAATGATCGTTTCCAGGTTCTGAAGGCCAGCTCTGCCACTGGCCTGCGCTGGCTGGTGACTCGGAGCATGTGACGTCATTTATCTCGGCCTCAGTTTCCCACTTGCGAGGCTGACCTTCCTCTCTGAGGCCTTTGCGGTCTTCATCCGAGGCTGATGCGATGTTTTCAACCTTTCTCATTTTCTAATAAATTCATGGGGAGACCCAAACATCTCTTTACTTATGAAATATTTCAAACTTACAGAAAACTGGAAACACGTAAAGGGCCTGCACATCTTGGGCATTCGGCCTGATGCCCATTAGCACTGCCCCCTGGTAGCTTCGCCCTATTGTATTACGATGTACTATTACAGCAGGTGCAGGCCCGCCTCCGCGCCCTCTGCGGCTCCGGCTCCTCCCTGGGCGCCTCTGTGGCTCCGAGCGGCCACCCGGCGCGCCGGCCCAGCCCTGGGCTCTGGCGGGGTGCTGTCCCGCGCCCACCCCCAGGTCCCCCTGGAGCGCCCCTCCTGCGCCCGCTGAGCTCCCTCCGAGCGCTGACCAACAGCTCACCTTCTGAACGGCTTCTCCTTTACTGTATTGTTGGTCTCTCTCCAACTAAAACGGGGGCTCCGTGTGGACGGGCATTCCTGATGGCCACGGAATTCTCGGGGTTTGGCAGAGGAGGCGCAGAGGAGTGTTCAGAAGGAATCGCTGCAGCGACCTCTCGCCTGCTGTGCGCTGTCGCTGGGCTTCCAGGCTGAGCACGCTTGGTGGGCCTGAGCTCTTCATCACCGAGAGAAGGCTCAGGAGGAGAACACAGGAATTCAACCCAAACCAAGGCGACACTGAAGGATTATTCACAATGCAAAAAGGAGTAAAAACAAGCTTCAAATGACTAGAGGCTGACAAATACACGGCCATTGCCCAACAGAACATTAACACGGTGTTTTTATTAACCATCTACATCTCTATTGTATTTTTTCCCTATAATTTATGGCTCATATTTTGATTGGCCCTTTATATAATAATGATTTTGTAAGTGTTTTTATAGGGGGAATAGAGATTTTTTTTTGGTCTATCATGCTTAATAAAAAACTTTAATATTATTTTTGATTGTTTAGGGTAAGTTTCTTCCAGCTTCATAGTTTGTAGTTATGAAAGTTTAGGGAATTTGTCAAATTTGGGGAAATCTTTACCAATTTTCTCTTCTGCTTGAGTTTTTAACATGCCTAAGCATTTCAAATTTGAGAAATCTTAAATTCTTTTTCAGATCGAAGATAGTCATTTATGAAACATTACATAAAATTAATTATCTGAAATATAAAAGTTATACAAATTGACCACAGTATACTCAAGATCATTTCAAATATGTCCAAGAGTTGTCACTGAAACACTTGCCCAAACAGGCTGTCTCATTGCTGCTGGTGGCAAATGTCAGTTGCCTCCCTACCTGGAACATGCAGATGTCCCCCATGCAGGGTGCCTTGGATGACACTCGAGGCATTGCAGTCTCAGATGTGAAACTTAACATGCAGATGTGTTTGTATAGAGCGTCACTAACAGAGCTTGTGCTGTGTCAACACAGAGTTTGCATAATTTTATTTTTTGTAAATCTCATCCAAAAGAAGCAGAACTATATAGAGCATTTATAACTGCATGTGCTACCTCTGAAACAAGACAGCTTCCATTATGACTGGACATATATTTTCTATGTATCATTTCACATATTTGTGATGAAAAGCATTTCTCACAGATGAGATTTGGCTCTGTACATTTTGAACTTAGCTGAGTCTCCATCATTCACATGCTCCTGTGACAGGCACATTGGAAATCCATAACGTATGTTTCACATAAATATTATCCATGTGCTCTCTGGCCCTGGCTGGTGTATCTCAGTGTTGGGAGACTTGGCACAGTGAGAAATAGATGTATTCCTAGAAGCCATCCAACTTTTACCATAACAACTGGCCATGATCTAATTACTTTAAATAACTAACAACTACTTAAATATATTCCACTCCATCCAAAGTAACATATACCCAAGTCAACTTCCAGTTGTTTTGGTGCCAGCAACGCTCACAGGGAATCCAGCACTTCAAGAACTGGTTGAGAGTGAGATGGAAGAGAATAAGATGGAGAGAAATGACTCTCTTTTAATCTTAATTTTGCAGTTTACAAAAACATGTGACTGTATGGACATTAGAAGAAGTGTTTCTACAAGTGTTTGCTCACTCCAAATGAGAATTTTCTTTCAGCACAGGCCAATCTATTGAACTAATAGTCTGTGTCTTTTGTGTTGCTTGACCAACAAACCTGGTAAGAAAACTTAGAGCAGGAAAAGTTTTTTTGGGGCTCACGGTTTCAGAGGTCTCAGTCCATAGATGGCTGGCTCCATTGCTCTGGGTCTGATGAAGCAGAACATCATGGAGGAAGGGCCCAGTACAGAAACTCTGCTCCCTTCAGGGCAGTAAGGACGTGGTGGGAAATTCAGAGAGGGAGGGAGGGTAGGTGGGAGAGCGGCGGGGGGGGGGGGGAGAGAAAATGCACACATAAAGTGACCTTAGGAAGAACAATCCACCTCTTCCAACCAGGCCCCACCAGCCTGCAGTTACCACCCAGCCATTCAAGCTAGGATGGACTGATTAGGTCATAGCTCTCATAATCTAATTATTTCATCTCTGACTATTCCTGCATTAACAGGAACTTTTGGGGGACATCTCATACCCAGGCCTAACAAGATAGCTTTTAGATGTTCTTTTACTTCAAATGTCTGGCTCATGAACAGTTAGCGTTCATAGATGAGTGAAGAGTTAATTGAGTGGTCAAAGTTTTTGCATGTTCTGTATGCCTCCTCTGCACTGCACACAGCTCATGGGGGTATTCTCTTCAATCATCTGGCCCTCTCTACCATCATGTGTGTCACTTGAAACCCATGCCCAGTAGTGAGAGACACTGCTTTCAGGCAATTTGGCAAGCATCACATAGACCTCTCCAGAGGAGCAGAATAAGGAAATAGGAGAGGACTCTATGCTTGTTACTCAGCCAGGACAGAATGAGTAGACAATCTGAAAGCTTTCTTTCTTTTTTTTCTTCCCATAGAGCACACTGATGTTGCTAAAACTTCTTTTTTGGAATAATAAAAATAAACTTTACAAGTTAATTGGTATAATTTTATAAAGATAACTGGAAAAATTACAATGACCTTTTGTTTAAAAACCCACCATGCCCATAAATCTATAACAGGCAAATATGATAATGAGAGGTGTCAGGCTCTTCAGCAGTCCCAGTGCATCCCTGTGTTGTAAGTTGCTGAGGGTGATACATAAATTGTTTGTATTACTTATGGCTTTCAGAGATGACAGACTAATCTGAGCAATTAGATTCTTGAGAAAGATCAAGATGCTTATTAAATCTTATCTTAGTCACTCCTAATTACAACCATCCATTTATCTCTGTGGAATAAAGTACTAATGCAAAGTTACAATTCAATCACAACATAACTAGTTCTTATCTTAGATGATAAAAAAACCACCATTATTACCACATATCCATAAAAGGATCTGTAATTAATTAGTGAAGTAAGACCCACAGACTACAGTCACATGAAGCTGCAAATTATAGCTCCAGGGCTCCATAAAGTGACCCACACTACAGGATGCAGGGAGTGACCATGTTCAGGATTAGCAGATATGCATTTAGTGCCTACTATGTGCCAGGAAGTGTGGATTCAGTGGTGGACAAAACAAAGTGAAACCCTGTTCTATGGAGTGAAATTCATGCAGACACACAGAGAGGAACACATAAAATATGCAATGTGGCAGTGGTGCTAAGTGCTTTCAAGAGGGAAAAGAAGCTCAGTGCCAGTACACCAGGGAGGTGGTGGGGAGGGGTGGAGTGGTCAGTGAGGGCTTCTCCACAAAGTGCCTTGAAGCAGAGAACTGAACGGGGGCAGAAGAGCCCGTGGACGTCTGGAGCCAGTATCAGAACAACCAGAGGACCAGGGACAAGCACCCAGAGGTTACCTGGCTGCAGGAAGAGCCAGGAGGCTGGCGGGACCAAGGTGGGGAGGGCCAGATGATGAGTGTCCTTGAGGGGGGCTGACTCTGGATCTTATTCTAGGGGGATGGAAAGCTTGTAAAAGAGTCTGAACAAAGTAGGAGGCAGAGACAGGAACACTACAGTGGTCTAGACTGGGGCTGTGGATTGTTGGGAGCAAGGTGAACAGCAGCTTCCCTCCCCGAAGAGACATAAAGGGCAATAGTGGAAGGAGGAACAAGAGCTCCCTGGACCAATCAGGATGGGGGAGCTGCAGGACCAATCAGGATTAGGGAGCTGCAGGACCAATCAGGATGGGGGAGCTGCAGGACCAATCAGGATGGGGAGCTGCAGGACCAATCAGGATGGGGAGCCTCTGGCCCAGTGACTGGGGGAGTCCAGGACTTCTGGGTGCCGCAGGGGAGACGTGCCTGGTCTCTACTCTGTCTCTCACGGGTGGAATTAGGTCCCAGTGTTGGTGCTCGCCCTCAGGACTCCACCTCTCTCACAGATGTCCCAGTGTCTGCTTCGCCTTTCTCCCCATGCCATCAGCCCCAGGCAGCCCCACAGTTCAGCCCCGTAGAAAAGCTGACCCTCTATCGCAAAGTCTACAGAACGCCCCAAAGAGCTGCAAAAAGCAAGAAGCACCTTACTGGACACAAAGTCGCAGGATTCCAGAGTGCTCAATGGTGGGGATGGGACGGTGGCCTTTTGTCTGAGCTCCTCAGGGCTCTTCCCAGCGCTGGGCTAACATTCCCCAGCTGGCCCAACTGGAGCTTTGTGCAGG